ATGGTCGAGTGGTTAAGGTGTCCTGTACACCAGTCTGGTTGAGCCCAACTAGACACTGGTTGGGCTCCAATTCAGCCCTACAGAACCTCCCAGTGAGTTCAGTAGAATTCCAGATTGCTCGTATCGAGGCCTAGTGTGTTTAGGCATGTGTCGGGGAATCACCAAAACGCCTCAACGGGCTCACCATAGCCCGTGCTACTTGGAACTTTTTGTTACAAGTAGCGAATCTTAAACAACAACAACCAAAACGCCAGTTCAAGTCACCCCCATCACCTCAAAAATTATTTTCATCTACATGAATGAGTTTAGGTAGGTGTAAATAGAAGCAGCCGCGTATGGGCCAATTGGCCTTCGACAGTTACCTTGATTTTTATGTTCTAAAATCAGTTTGGAGCTGCTGGGCGCCTCCGGGGGAAACTTTGCATGCTGGGTAAGTCTGAAATAACAGTTGATGACAGAGCAGCGTGATAAAGAATTTTCAAGTGATGAGAAAAGTGTATTTTCTCTCGTAATTCACGGTGAACAGCCTCTAACGACCCCCCATTCATCCTTCCCTAATGCCTTACATTAACTAATTGCCAGTGCTAACCAGCAGTTTGATCGTTATTATTGTAATTGTTTCTTCAGTATGGCTGTCCGTGGAAGCGAGTGTGTGTGTGTGTGTGTGTGTGTGTGTGTGTGTGTGTGTGTGTGTGTGTGTGTGTGTGTGTGTGTGTGTGTGTGTAAACAAGGATAAACTATTCAACACGGGTGGTACGCGAACAAGGGGACACAGGTGGAATCTGAGTGCCCACATGAGCCACTGGGACGTTAGAAGGAACTTTTTTCAGTGTCAGAGTAGTTAACAAGTGGAATGCACTAGGAAGTGATGTGGTGGAGACTGACTCCATACACAGTTTCAAGTGTAGATATGATAGAGCCCAGTAGGCTCAGGAACCTGTACACCAGTTGATTGACAATTGAGAGGCGGGACCAAAGAGCCAAAGCTCAACCCCCGCAAGCACAAATAGGTGAGTAAACACACACACACACACACACACACACACACACACACACACACACACACACACACACACACACACACACACACACACACACACACACACAAGCCTCGTGGTTGTTCAAAGGTTCAAAGGTTTGCCACCAGACTAGTACCCGAGCTGAGAGGTATGAGCTACGAGGAGAGACTATGGGAATTAAACCTCACTTCGCTGGAAGACAGAAGAGTTAGGGGGGACATGATCACCACATTCAAGATTCTGAAGGGGATTGATAGGGTAGATAAAGACAGTCTATTTAACACAAGGGGAACACGCACAAGGGGACACAGGTGGAAACTGAGTGCCCAAATGAGCCACAGAGATATTAGAAAGAACTTTTTTAGTGTCAGAGTGGTTGACAAATGGAATGCATTAGGGGGTGATGTGGTGGAGGCTGACTCCATACACAGTTTCAAGTGTAGATATGACAGAGCCCGATAGGCTCAGGAATCTGTACACCTGTTGATTGACGGTTGAGAGGCGGGACCAAAGAGCCAGAGCTCAACCCCCGCAAACACAACTAGGTGAGTACACACACACACACACGTGAACGCTTATTCCCTGATTCCGCCACCCTTCCGTAAAGAAAAGAAAAAATACGAAAAAATTACAAACTTCTGAAGAAATTTTTAATAACCAAGCTCGTTCTCAGAAATCAGCGTTGGGAGATGTAATTGTGTCGAAGGGGAGTAGAAATTACACTTGGCTGAGGGGCGGAGTTATGAGTATAATTTACATGTAGTGTAGGTGTGGGGGGCGGGGGGGGTGTATGATGCGTCGAGCTGTGGTTTGTATATGTATACCTGATGCAATGGGTGATGTATACATGATGCCAGTGGGTGATGATGTATTCCTGATAACAGTGGGTGATGTATGATGGATGACAGGTGATGGGATGAACGGTTATTGATAACGGATGATGATGTATAGTCAACAGGGGGATGAGGGGTGTGAATACTTGATGGTAGGTGTTGTGTATAATTGATGACTGGAGTTGAGGTGTATAATTATGGGAGGTTGTGGTGTATAATTGATGACTGGTGTGGTGGTTCATACGTGATGACGGGTTGTCGTGTATGCTTCATGTGGTGTATACTTGATGTCAAGTTTTTGCGACGGTTTGTATATGAGTGTATTGTATAAATGTATTTGAGTGTATTGTATAAATGTATTTGACTGGAGTAAATGTATTTGAATGTACAGAGTTTAAGTGTATGTAGAAAGGTGGTTGATGGTGATAGCGAAGGGCAGGTGGATTGGATAGTGCGGTGGTGGTGATGGACAGTTAGGTGGGATAGAGTGGTGGGAGGGAAAGGCAGTTATATAGGTGGGATAGGGTGGAGGTGTTGAAGGGAAAGGATAATTGTGGAGATGGGAAGGTCTTTGGTGGTTAGGCAGGGTTGTTTGACCGGTGGGAATTCTTGTGTGGAAAATAATGGGCGGTGTCTTTGATTAGTGGTAGTGGTGGTTAGTGATGGTGGTGGTGGTGGTGACGATGGTGGTGGTGGTGGTGAGGGAGAAGGGCGAAGAGTTAGGCACGATATATATATTTTTCCGGGAAGGGCACTACAAGATTCTCTGCTACAAGAGAATCTGGATCTGGTGTAGCAGTTATTGTTATGAGTAGTGGGAGACACACACACACACACACACACACACACACACACACACACACACACACACACACACACACACACACACACACACACACACACACACACACACACACACACACACACACACACACATGGTACACACACACAACACACACAGTGACAAGGTGGTGGACCAAGACCGTCAGTACACAAAGCGTTACACACAAAGACTGGGAAGACACACACGAGCGTACTCTCACGTAACTACACTTAGGTAATTACACTTACAATTACACACACACACACACACGGTACACCACGAGCGTGACTCATCCTGTAACTACACTTATGTTACACACACACATACACGTTCATACCTAGTTAAACACATGACAGAGTTAGAGGAGATTCAGAGGTATGCCACCAGACTAGTCCCAGAACGGAGAAGTATGAGTTACGAGGAAAGGATATGGGATCGTAACCTCACGTTCCTGGAAGACAGAAGAGTAAAAGGAGATATGATCACCACTTATAAAATTCTCAGAAGAATTGACGCTGTGGACAAAGGCAAACTATTATGCATGGGTTGAACACGAACAAGGGAACACAGGTGGAAACTGAGTACCCACATGAGCCACAGAGACGTTAGAAGGAACTTTTTCAGTGTCAGAGTAGTTAACAGATGGTATGCACTAGGCAGTGATGTGGTGGAGGCTGACTCCATACACAGTTTCAAATGTAGATATGATAGAGCCCAGTAGGCTCAGGAACCTGTACACCAGTTGATTGACAGTTGAGAGGCGGGACCGAAGAGCCAAAGCTCAACCCCCGCAAGCACAACTAGGTGAGTACACAGAGACACAGGAGACAGAAGGCCTGGCACCATGTGGGGTCGCCAGAGGAGCCGCTGGTGGGGTTGAGAGCGTCAAGGAACAATATGACACTCTCAGCTGGCTATTATCACCAAATAAAAACCACTTGGAGCCTCCTCAACCACCCTCCAACACCAACGAACCTTCCTCTCCCTCCCGCAATATTATATATATATATATATATATATATATATATATATATATATATATATATATATATATATATATATATATATATATATATGTCGTACCTAGCAGCCAGAACCCACTTCTCAGCCTACTATGCAAGGCCCGATTTGCCTAATAGGCCAAGTTTTGATGAATTAATTGTTTTTCGACTACCTAACCTACCTAACCTAACCTAACCTAACTTTTTCGGCTACCTAACCAAACCTAACCTATAAAGATAGGTTAGGTTAGGTTAGGTAGGGTTGGTTAGGTTCGGTCATATATCTACGTTAATTTTAACTCCAATAAAAAAAAAAATGACCTCATACATAATGAAATGGGTAGCTTTATCATTTCATAAGAAAAAAATTAGAAAAAATATATTAATTCAGGAAAACTTGGCTTATTAGGCAAGTCGGGCCTTGAATAGTAGGCCAAAAAGTGAGTTCTGGCTACTAGGTACGATATATATATATATATATATATATATATATATATATATATATATATATATATATATATATATATATATATATATATATATATATATATATATCTGCTTGGCCTAGTAAGGTCTGGTTTGTTTAACAGGCAGAACAGTTTTCGTTCATTTAAAATATAACTTCCCAAATTAGTTCTATCGTGACAACTTTATATTTTGTGTTGGGAACAATAAGTTCAGGTTTAGTTATATGACGTAAGGTTAGGTAAGGTTTGGTTTGTTATAATTTATATTTTAGTTTTGACTAAACATAAATATCGCAGTCATATATAATACAATAATAAAACTTTTATCATTCCATAGGATTTTTTTAATCAAATATTTTAGGAAAGTTTGGCTTGTTAGGCAACTCATATATATGTGTGCTATTAGGTACGACATATATATGTGTATGTCGTACCTAGTGAATTCAAGCCTTTCATTTGACTTCACTTATAAGACTGATTCTTGAAGAAAGTGTGACTCCTTTATCTCGTACATATTCTCAAGAACCACATTCCCGCCTCTAGCGCTAACTGTGACACACAAGGATCAGCTGTAATTTACATCTTTGCAAATAATCCTTTGCCTTTGTCATGTCTCGTGAGTAAAGGAGAGTTATTAACGCTATGATTACTGTCTTGCTTATAGGTAAGAAGTGAGAGTTTACCTCACCTCATCTGTGACTTGATTTTCCTACGCTCCCCATTACCCAAAACTCCCAAAACTGACCTGTTAAGGATTTCTAGTCACGCGGCTTCCCACGTCTCTCCATAGACCTAAACAACTTCACATATGACAAAATGTTACCACGCATCCCTCTCCCTAAATCGCCAAAACTCACCTGTTGTAGATTTGTTGACGTTAATATTCTGACCGTCTTCCCGTTTCCAGGTGACGGTGGGCTTGGGTGAACCTCTCGCTCGGCACCTGAGCTTGATGTCATTACCCTCTTGTGCTATGACGTCGCCTGAGCTCTCCTGGTCGACGATGTCAGGCGGAACTGAGGATACAGTGGAGGAAGAGAAAGGTTAGTTCGTAATGATCAGTTCATAATTGTGCTTGTGGGAGACCCCCACAAGCACAATTAGATCCCAATATAGATCCCTTGGTTCTATATATATATGATCTTGACACTTTTGAATTGTATTATTTTTAGGCAGGCTATATGTAGTGTTAATACAAACTACGCATTCACTTGACCAAACCACGTTCTCACATGGAGCGTTTGCTTCTGGATTTTAACAGTTGTTGAATTACCTAACGTGTTTAATTTATTCACTCCTACGTTAAAAAAGTTTGTTCAAACATCTGTGATTCATAAATTTTATTTTCCTGTCATGTCCCTTGATCTCCTGGTCTTTCTACTGAGCTCGTCGTATTTAGGATACAAACCACAGTCGCTTGGTACGCAACTGAGACTGTCTGGCTTGTCTGGTACCTACATGGTACCAAGTCTGACTTTGGTACCATGTAGGTACTTCTGAGCACCCTCCTTATTACGAGCATACACATGACTTGGTTGGTAGGACAACAGTCTCTTATATTTTAGCCTCGAGTTCGAATCTCCAATGATCCATGTGAATGAAATGTATTTTTTTTTCTTCGAGTTAATTGGCCTAAAAATTTGTATGTCGTTATCATGTCACAACAGTTTCATCTCTTCAGATGTGGTGAGTTCATCATTCATCAGTCTGCCATCATAGGTTAACGCCTCAGTTCTAATATGTGTCTCGTTGTTAAAATCCTATTGATGTTATCTATCGTACTTTGTATTCGTTTATTGACAATGTTTATATGTAGCTCGGATGTCAGGTTGGAAATATGTCACTTCCCAGGTTCTATAAATCCCATCCCGTTCACTTGATATTGGGAAAGAAACCTTATTGTTGCCTCCCGCATGTCGCATTAGCGTTTTCATTCTAGCTTGAGCTCCAGTGACCAGGACTGGACGGTAGAGCGACGGTCACGCATCATGCAGGTCGGTGTTCAATCCCCGACCGTCCAAGTGGTTAGACACCATTCCTTTCCCCGTCCCATTCCATTATCCTGATCCCTTCCAAGTGCTATATAGTCGCAATGGCCTGGCGCTTTTCCCCTGATAATTCCCTCCCTCAACTGACCACCAGGATAGTAATGGAGTTCCTCCAAGGTAAGGTAATTACAAGGATGCGTGGGTCATTAAGACTATATAGCAATTAGAGAAAGGGAATAAAGACAAGGAAGTAGGCTATGAGACAAATTCCCAACCTTTTGGACAATCGGGAATCGAACTACGACCTTGTATGAGGCGATGTCTTTGCTGTACCGACCAGTGCAAGTTGATGGGTAGGAACTTCAACAAGTCCTGGTGCATCCTGTTACAATATTGACCTGACTCTTATCTTGTTTATATTGGCCCTAAACAATGATGGGTTCGCATCCCGCCTTCTTGGCTTACTTAGTGTTACCAGTCAGAGAGAACTCATCCATCACTGTTACCACCACAGAAACACTCCCTCGAGTGTTACTGACCCTTTAACATTCACCCCAGAGTGTTACCAGCCCCCGCAACACTCACCCCACAAGTGTTGCCAGCCCCCGCAACACCCCACAAGTGTTGCCAACCCCCGCAACACCCCACAAGTGTTGCCAACCCCCGCAACACCCCACAAGTGTTGCCAACACCCCGCAACACTCACCAACAACAGTGAGGTATCCAGCGATGGTCATGGCGGAGGCTGTGTTGATCTGACACATGTACTTGCCGGTGTCCGTCTCTCTGACGTCATTAATGTGGAGGTAGAAGGTCTTCTGGTGCTTGTCTCTGGTGACGGTGATCCGCTCGTTACGGGTGATCACGTGACTCGACACCGTCAGGATGGCCGAGTTCTCGTAGTGGATCCACGCCACCTGCCGGCCAGGAGGGGGGGGGCAGGCAAGGGAGTGTGGGAAGCACAAGAGTAGGGGAAGGAGGAGGAGGGGAAGGAGGAGGAGGGGAAGGAGGAGCAGGGGAAGGAGGAGTAGGGGAAGGAGGAGGAAGAGGAGGAAGGGAGGAAGGTGGATAAAAGAATACCTTGCTATTAAAAATGATTGTAAAATAAATAAAATAAATAAATATTTATTGTTTTATAATATGGTGAGTGGTTGGAATGTGTGAAGTTAGTTATAATGTGTATGTACGCCAAAAACAATTGCCATAAGATTTGCCCAAAATGCTTCACAACTAATAGTTATCATCACGGAGTATCCTAACAAAATCCGGGTCCTCGCAACGGTTCTCTTGCATAATCATTCGCCCATTTATAAGCACATCTTCTGGCTGGTCCTCCATCTTCACCCTGTCCCCTCCCACTCTCCAGGAGGGCCTTCACTACACTCTTGAGGCAGTAAACATACCAAGAGAGTGGGTAATTACCCCATAATACGGTGTTAAGCACGCCTCGTCCGGAAGAGCGCCAGGGTAAGTGAAATGTGGGTGGGCTGCACCGTAGAATTATTCACGTCGAGACCAAAAACTGGCATTTATTACCATTTTTTATATAATGTAACTGATTGTGACGGGAACGGGCTTAGGTAATGGAAGTGTGGGGTCACGATAGTGGTAGTGTTGGGTGATGGTGGTGGAAAAGTAGGGACACGAGGAATGATGTAGGCAGAGAATCCTAACAGGTGATGCAGACAGTGGGGATTCGTAAACATTCGAGTGATACAGACAGTGGAGTGACGCAGACAGTCAACTGACGCAGACAGTCAAGAGACGCAGACAATGGGTCGATCCAATAAAAGTGTAGCATGGGGGAAAGGCATGTGTGAAAGGAAAGACAAGTGATTGAGAGAGTGGAATAATTGGAGTAGATTTATGGAACGGTACTGAAACGAGCAACAATTTTTCCCTCCATTTGCCTCTATTGAACATAAAGGTTTCTACCATTACTTTTAAATAGCTGCTCCTATCCCCCCCCCTCACCCTTCATCCCCGGAGACCTTTGTGTACAATGGTCACAGTGTAACTACCCAGTGGAAGAACCGAGGAAGCTGATGGACGAAACTCACCTTATGTGTCCCGAGGTTGTCAACCCTACAGGCGAAGCGGACGTTCCTTCCCTCTGACACCGTTTGATTCTGGATCTCAGCGAGGAAGATTGGGTCTCTTGACATAACACCTGGAGAGAGGGAGAGAGAGAAAGATATATGGTGAGTGGTTGTGATGCTATATGAGCCAGATATTGGTGATTTAAAGAGACTTGTATGAATCGCGATGAGCCATGATGTTATATAAAGGTGAATATGATTGCTGCGATGTTATGGAAAGGTGTTAAGGTATGCTCGGCTGATGTTGGGATGTCTTAGAGGAGATGTTGACATCTCTTTGGAAGATCGGACAAAGTGGCATTAGTAGGGAAAGTACTTGTATGTGATAAGTGATAGGAAATGCCAAGATGTGTGTGATATAGATCGTGAAAAAGGTGTGAGATAGATTCTGAGGTGAGTGAGAGATACATGGTGAGATGTGTGAGATAGATGCTGATATACCTGTGAAGTAGATGCCGAGATGTGTGAAGTAAGAAATGCTGATACAGGAGATGCTGAAAGATGTTAGGATGGTGTCTGGGAGTATAAAGATCGTGATGTTCAGTGATACAGATACTAACAGATATTCTCATAAGTTTTGTGTCTAGATGCATTGTTGGATGAGAGTAAAAAAGTATCCAGTTGTAGTATAAAATAAATGTGTCAATGAAAAGATTGAAAATATATGTAAAGATGATTGAAAAGTAAAGTAGTTTTATATTTGATTCCTTGTTTGTTATTATTATTCAAGTCTTTACAAAACGCGAGATGGAAAATTTGATAAGCAGCTGGACACGTGTGGTGTATGGTGTGTGTTTTGAGTGTCTTGAGTTACACACTGCACACCCTCCTCCTCCAGCACCCACTCGCACCTCACAACCAAACTTCAACCATACTCTCACAACCACATTGCATATATAAACAACCTAAAACTATACCCCCCTAACTTACATTCTGGATAATCACCATCACTACAAACCTTCACTGCATCTCTTAACTACATAACCACCTCATATACTAACACCTCAATCACCGCACCAACACTCACCTATCCCACCTGAGCAACCCCAACCTCCTCTCTCCATCCCACAGCCCCTCCAACTAACCACACTCCCCACCACCCCCTCCTCCTCTCCCATTGAACCATCCCTCTACCCCACCCTATCCTTTTCACCTTTCTCACCCACCCCCCTTTCCTCTAAAAAATCTCCCATCCGTTAATCATTTCCTTATGAGTAATTTTCCTGTTTTCTTTTACACAAGGTTGTAAATCCGGTCGTGCATCGCGATGTCCGCTGTAAATCGCCATAAGTGTGTCGTTAAGCCGTGAGAGCGAGCGCGAGGCGACGTGAACTCGCAAATTGGTTCCTGAGACTTAGCTTTGTTACTAATGCCTTTCTTCCGCGGCGGGAGAGGTGAATTGGGGGTAATGGGGGAGGGAGGGAGAGTAATATGGAAGAGGGTTCTGGGGAAGGGAGGGGAGAGTAATATGGATATTGTCTAATCGGGAGAAGGGAATACGTATGGGAGAAAGGAGAAAGGCGAAATAGCAGGATTGGGAGGTATGGAATAGGAGATAAAGACATTGGGTGAGAACTAGTGAGAAGAAAATTTGAGAGGACTAGGAAGATGAGTAATGTGAGAGGCGAAGGGATGGTATGGGAGGACATGGGGCTGGGATAGTGGATATGTGACAAAGTGTGAGGCTAGAAGACACGTAATGAAGGGAATAGAGTGTAGAAAAGGATCAAGTAGATAAGAGATAATAGAATGGACGAGGAAAAGAGGGTGGTGCTGGGAGGTAGATGCTTATGTATATTAATCACTTATTCATAGCTCTTTATGCTTCACAACCCGAGAATTTGCTTAAGACAAGCCGAACAAAGAAATGCAATGTCATTGTTGCTGTATCAGTATGTGTGTGGTTGTAGGCATGTTGTTGCAATAACCACATGGTGTGACACTACATAAAGGCATGTTGTTGCAATAACCACATCGTGTGACACTACATGTTGGCATGTTGTTGCAATAGCCACATGGTTCGACACTACACGAAGGCATGTGGTCGCAAAGTGTTAATATTTGTGTCCCGTTTAACAGTATGAGCACGCGCTAAATTAAAGAACATATGCCCGTTTATCAGTAAGAATACTTTACCCGTTTATCAGTAAGAATACTTGACCCGTTTATCAGTAAGAATACTTGACCCGTTTAACAGTAAGAATACTTGATTTCCGTTTATTCCTAAGAATACTCTAGTTCCTTTTATCAGTAAGAACACTTGGGATCCGTTTATCAGTAAGAACACTTGGGATCCGTTTATCAGTAAGAACACTTGGGATCCGTTTATCAGTAAGAACACTTGGGATCCGTTTATCAGTAAGAACACTTGGGATCCGTTTATCAGTAAGAACACTTGGGATTCGTGTATCAGTAAGAATACTAGAAGTCTGTTTATCAGAATCTTCCTTAGACATGTTTCTATAAACAGAATAATGCTTTATATCCCAATCAGTTAACGAGAATACTTGCCACATTTAATAGATTATCTATTATGCTGGATGCCGGCAATCTATTATAATTGATGCCTATAACTTATTTATAAGAACAAATGCCTCGTGTTTGACCTTGACTGAGATAGAGATTGCTTTCTCGTTTCCCATTGAGTATCCATGTGTCCTATTGGTGAGAATGGGGAGTCCCATTTACTAATGAGTATTCCTGTATGTCACGCAGAGACGTGAGTTGGATTCCTTGCCAGGGCTCCAAATTCTTAATAGATTGATCACGCTGTTGTGGTTGGATGTGTGCATCCCTATATATCGTTTATTTTGCAGGAATACTCGCTTCTCATTTTGGCAATGTCTTATCTCGTTTATTAGTGAGAGTATTTGCTTCCTATATCGCAGTGAGAATATTTGCCTGCAGTATAGCAGTGTAAATACTTACGTGCAGTATAGCAGTGTTAACACTTGCGTGCAGTATATCAGTGAAAATATTTGCGTGCAGTATAGCAGTGATAACACTTGCGTGCAGTATAGCAGTGATAACACTTGCGTGCAGTATAGCAGTGATAACAATTGCGTGCAGCATAGCAGTGATAACAATTGCGTGCAGTATAGCAGTGATAACACTTGCGTGCAGTATAGCAGTGATAACACTTGCGTGCAGTATAGCAGTGATAACAATTGCGTGCAGTATAGCAGTGATAACAATTGCGTGCAGTATAGCAGTGAGATTTATCTGAGTGCCACCTCCCAGGTACACACACACACTTGTCGTTCCAATAAGGGTCGAAGGAGAGGCTGTAGAGAGGATATTTGCAGCTCCAATGGCAACACTTTTAATGAAAACCTCTTGAAAAATTGGAACATTAATCTTGGCGGTTGTGGAAAAATAGCATATATTCTTGGTTGCGGTTCAAGGTTGTGGCTGGTTGAAGTAGAGCTTTGTGGTTGTGGTGGTTGTTTGTGTTTGTCGGGGTTGTATAGTTGTAAATGGCACGACACAAGTGATTTGTTGAGGAGTTGTATGTAGGTTATAACTGCAGGTGTTATAACCTACATGTTATAACTGCACGTGTTCTGCCAGTGCTCTGTTTCTCCAACACGTCATCAACACAACCACGCCTCGTTATTACACACTCTTGAGTGACCTGTGACACTCTTGGGTGACCTGTGTCACTCTTGAGTGACCTGTATCACTCTTGTGTGACCTGTGTCACTCTTGAGTGACCCGTGACACTCTTGTGTGACCTGTGTCACTCTTGAGTGACCCGTAACAATCTTTTGAGTGACCCATAACACTCTTGAGTGACCCGTGACACTCTTGAGTGACCCATAACACTCTTGAGTGACCCGTGACACTCTTGAGTGACCTGTGTGACTCTTGAGTGACCCGTGTCACTCTTGAGTGACCCGGTGGGTACATTCACGACTGACACACATCAAATATATTTAATCCAACTGATTTTTTATGTCAGAGATATTATCTCTCAGCATAATGTGTGTAGATGTTTTCCCGATAATATAATATTCTATTTTCAGTTCTTTGATGATTGAGAGTTGAATAAATGTTTTTAGAGCTCTCTCGAAGGCCTGGCTAATGTTTTCATGTCTTTAATAACTTTAATAACTTTGGTTATTAACTACATTTTTTTAACATTAATCAAATAATAATTTCTTTATAATAACTCGTTTTGTGATAAAAATGTTACATTTTTATAGCGATGACAAATTACATTTTTCATAATGATTCTCGGTATTTTAATTGCTTAAGTCTAGTTAAAAATATCTGTGAGGGATAGAGTTATCAGGTGTTGTGTTACAGCTTCAGGTGTTTTGTTTTTCTCTATGAACATGTGACTCAATAGTATATTTGTGTTGCGAATCTGAGAAAAGCACATTTTTGGGAATTTGTATATTCTGATTTATAAAGAAAGGAGTTAATTTTTGAGTGGACTTGTGAATATCATTCGCGAAAAAAATTTAGTTTCCATAACAACAATAGATTTTAAATATAATTTTTCGTGCTCATTGTCTTCTCTTACTCATCCCTCATCTCTTATCCTTCTTATTCATCATTGTCCCCTCTCTCTCTCTCTTCACCTATCCTTTCCGTCAATTCTCATTGCTACTCGTCATGTTCATTCATCTTTTCCTGCATCTCTGACCTCTTCACGCTATCTGTGATCTCTTTGTTGTCATTCTCTCCTTCCTTGTTCCATTATCCTATTTCTTCTTCTCCGTACTCCTCCACCCTCCTTCTATCCTCTGCCTCTCATACTCTCTCCCTCTTTCCTTCTCGCTACCTTCTCTCTTCCTTGCCCTCTTGCCTGCACCTGCACCCTCCTTCTCTCCTCTGCCTCTCATACTCTCTCCCTCTTTCCTTCTCGCTACCTTCTCTCTTCCTTGCCCTCTTGCCTTTCCTCTTCCCTACTCTTCACCCCTACTCCTCTTTTGCATTCCCTGTTACCCAATTCTCCTTCATCTCTCACTGTACCTTTGGTTTCCTTTCCTTTCTCTTCTTCCTACCCTACAGTCTAGCTTATTCCATTCCATTTCTTATTTTCATTCCCTATCTTGCCTACTCTCT